TATTTTATAGAAGCACCAATTCCTAACGGAATTTAACGTTCTTATGCTCGTTTTGAAGCTATTAGAGATGTTAATAAATTTACAAATTCATAATTTTAAAATATTGGCCTAAAGACCGGTCATAAACCGGTTAAAACTGATGCAGACCGAAACCGGTCTATAGACCGCAAAAAACCGCGGTCTGTGGTCTTTTTGCGGTCCGGTCTGGTCTTTTGACTTCTGGGGAAAAGGCAGACCGGTTACGGTTACGGTTAATGCCCCTGGGCATCAAAAAACCGGACCGAACCGGACTTTCAAACACTACTCCCAACTCTAGAAACCTTACGTGAAGGGCTGATTGCTGCAAGAGATGATCAGGAGAACAACCCTGCCAATGTTGTCTGGGTTGCTTGTCATGCTGCAGTTCTTCTTGTTGATAAGTATTCTGCCTTTTCTGGAACCTGTGATATTTACATAGTCGCCATTGGTAAGAATCCAGCTTGATCTCTACATTTATTTCTTATATATTCACCAGTGATGTGTCCTGATTGCAAACTCAAATGGTTTCAAGACCATGGTCGTGACCTCCAACAAATCAAGTCCATAAAAAGTATAGTATGTGATTACTGGGACAGTGTATATGCAGGTGAAGAGGAGAATGAGCTGAGAGAGGAGGAAAACAAGGCAATTGGTAAAAATATCCTTGAAATCCTGTTATTGAATTGAATTTTTAGCCAAGCGATCACGATATGCACCAAAAGAAAATCAGTTTGTTAAGGACCACATTCAAACTTACCTTGATGAACCCAGGGTAGCAACGGAAACAATCAAGGAAATGGGAGGTTATATGATGTACTGGCACAATGCATCACAGTCCCGACCATGACTCTCATGAATGGGTTCTGATTTCTGCTCAGCCCCAGGTAAGCACCATTATTCACACTCATTTTCCTTTATTTTCAACAATTGTTGCAGCTACTTCTGTGGATGCAGAGCGAGCATTCTCCACTGGTCGCCATCAGATCAATTTCACCCAGCACAATATCAACTCTCAAACATTCAGAGCAGAAATGGCTCTTGGATCCTGGATTAAATCCCCCCTCTACCCAGGCTTCAATAAAGTTACAAAAATGATTGAAAAAAAGATGGACAATGATTTCTTTTCCTCTTGAATAGCTTTTTGTAACACTTTATGTCACCAAAATTGTTCTTTCAATACCTCTACCTAAATATCAAGTTTCAGAGTGGCCCAGGCATGCTAATACACACCCCAAAACACACTCTGTGATCAAGGCTCAGTCACATCAGCATTATATGAGGGGAAAGACCTCAAATTACAATATATGGATAACTTTAGTTTGAATATGAATTCTTCTGAATTTTCGCTTCATAACGCAATTTTTTTTTTGTAAAGAACAGATGAGAAATGAATGAGATACACCCATTTATATAACTGAAGCTATGTCCTCAGCCACTCAGGCCATTTTACCCACGGATATATCTGTACTGTGCCTTACTGTCATGTCACCCCTAACAGGTCATCAGCACTAATGGGTCAGCAAGCTATAGCACCACAACGATCCATGCTATGCATTTGAAATTTTGAACAGAGTTTGACAATGTACATGCGGCTGTGTGTGGAGATTTATTGGATAGAACGTTGAGCATGAGCTGAGATATAAGGGAGGTAAGATGGTCACATTGTTGTTTTGCCAAGTTTGCCCATGAAAGCAAGTCTATCTAATTGACGACCATTTCTCTCCACAGTGCTAGCCTCTATTGACACAAATATTTTTGAGAGTTTACAGTGGAGGTATTGGTAACTCACACACAAAATTTAAATCAGATA